AGATATCCCATGCACAAAAGAAGTAAAAACCCATTCTTATCAGCTAGACTATCTGCCTAGACGCTGTCTGCACTCACACACAGTGAAGGGGTGACACCAAAGGACATGTCTGTCTTTCTTAAGACAAAAACATATCGTCATTGGGACTCAAGGAAGGACAGCATATAAAGAGATGAGAGTCACAGAGGATGTGCTAAAGAGAGCAGCAGAGAGAAGTGCATAGCCACAGGTCTTTTGGGAAAAGGAAACTCTTGTTAAGCAGCTCATTCGCTCTTGAAGGTGATGCTGTGATACCATGACCCTGCCCAGGGGAGTGTAGGCCAGTGAGCCTCCTGGAAACCAGTTGAACAGCTCAGTACACTCTCCTCTTGGGAAAAAGGGAAGAAAGGAGAGATTCATCTCCCCAGATGCCTACAATGGAGGAAAATTCCATTTGCCTTCAGCAAATATGGTTCCTGCATTGATGACGCAGTCTTCAGAAAAGGGTGGGAATTACATGGGGAAAAAACATTATGAATATATGTCTCAGAATGATGGGTATAGAAAAAGCAGCCTATAATTTCTGCCCTGTAATTTCCCTTCTTGTGTTTTCTGTTGCCTGAACTGGTAAGTCCTGAGCCAGAGGTTCAACTTCAAGGTCCCATGGTTCTGGGCACCACTTCCCTTTTCTTTGCTGCCCACTGTTTTTGAGGATATCTTCACCACTGGAGCAAACTCCCTGAGCCAGAGGCCTCTTTTCCATTTTTCTACACATTCAGTGTCCTTAGTTTCTTTTTCTAAAGATTTATTTATTTATTTTAGAGGCAGAGAGAGAGAGAGAGAGAGAAAGAGAAAGAGATTATCCATCTGCTGATTCATTCCCCTAATGACCACAACGGCTGGAGCTAGGCCAATCTGAAGCCAGGAGCCAGGAGCTTTTTCCGGGTCTCCTATGTGGGTGCAGTGGCCCAAGCACTTGGGCCATCTTTCAGTGCTTTCTCAGGGGCATCAGAAGGGCAATGGATCAGAAGAGGAACATCAGGAACTTGAACCAGCATCCAGATGCGATGCTGGCATTACAGGCAGAGGCTTTACCTGCTACACCACAGCGCTGGCCCCCTCAGTGTCCTTTAAGTAATGGTACAGGAAGAGCTCGGAAAGCCCAAGTGGGATAAAATCCCCATCTGACAGATGAGAGAGTTGAGGCTCAGAGGGTCAACTGGCTTATTGCCTCTTCTGAACTCAGTGTCATATCCACTGTACCACACTGCCTCCAACGCACATGTTTCTCCTAGCAACAGGTATGCTCACGCCAATATTTATAAATTATATACATGTGTGAGGATCAATACCAAACAATGTAATATTGTTTGTACTTCATTAGAGCAGAGTACTATCTTTGTGACATCCAGTTGAGTTTAAAAATGCAAATTATTGAACAACATTTCTGGCATAATCTCATCTCTGTTCTCACTTCCCCAGCAGAAAGATCTGTGTATGTATGCATGTGTGTGTGTGTGTGTGCGCACACATGCTCCTATGTGGTTTTATCTATCAGCAACCAAGTGTGTACTCTTGCCTACAGGCATAGAGAGGACCCAGGGCTGGCCCGCCAAAGGGTTAACAGAGTTTCTTCTTGTGGGTGGGAAAATTTTACTCTTTGTATTTATTTGGCATGGCTACTATATTTTATAAATGAGCATGCATGGCCTTTGCCATTTAAAAGTGATAAATAAGAAATAATCAAAGCAACCACAAAATGAATGTAGACTACAAGTCAAGCACTGCGCTGGGCCCTGCACAGGGACCACCATGCTCCATCCTCTTACCCGAGGGGAGCAACCTGAGGCTTAAAGAGGAAACACAGCTGGCAGGGTGACAGAGCCAAGATCTGAGCACAGAACTGCCTGGCCTGAAAGCCGTGCTCAGATTGTCCCTAAGAGATCATTCTTTTTCTCTTGGACTCAATAGAGGAAAGTGAGTGTGTCTCTCACAGCGATGTCATCTGTTTATCCTAAATTGCTTCGAAAGGGAGAAAACGCTGCCAGCTGCCGCCATTGAACTAAGACCCCTGGGTGTGTCTGCTGCCTGAAGCAAAGCTCCCTTTGCTATATCCCCCTCTCTGCCCCCAACCCCCATCCTCCATCCTCACCATTCTTGGCAATGAGCTCTCCATGTGTGAATTCCATTAGAGGCTTGCTCACTGCTATTTCGGGCCATGCATTAGCACTTGGGCTTTGATTTGATGGGCGAAGGCCAGACACCTCAGGATGATGAAAATGAAATTTAAAACGGCCTCTCCCTCCCCTCACAGTCCTGGAAGTCTTGGCCCACATCTCCTGGGATGCCTGAGAATTCAACATATGGGGGAATGTGCACGGGGGACTGGGAGGCAGGCGGTGGGCTATGTAGGGAAATCTTCATAATCGATTAGTGCCTCTGACCTCAGCAGTTCCCTCTCCTTGAAGCTGTCGTCTCCTGGCTGTCAACCTGGCTCACTCCCTCCCCTCCTCCATTCATAAGCAACAGCTCCCTCCCCACCGCCTGCTCTCCCCACATCCCAGGGTTCCCATTGTTGCCTGCATAGCACCTGACATGCGAGACCCTCCCTGGCTGCTGTGCTAGTTCCCCAACTAGAGCATCAGCTTAGTAATGGCAGCACTGCTGATGCACAGCTTTACCCCAGTCACTACACTGGTGTCTGGAACATTACAGAAGCAAAGGCTAAGAAAAGAATTAATGAATTGGCTGATGAGGTTAAGAACCAGAGCCTGTGCAATCACCTAGCACAGGGCTTCGTTTCCCCTTCAATGTCATGGGATGATAGCAACTTTAACAGGGGCATTTGAAAAATCAGAAAAGCATCCCCCTCCCCCCATACTAAAGCTGTTTTGAATTCATGGACTCGCAGGGACCATGAATGAGAAGTTTTCAGGAAATAAACACACTAGCAAGTCGTGTGCAGTTGGAGTTCCGCTTGCTAACACATGTTCAAAAACAAAAAGCCCAATTTGGATGAAAATAGCAGGAAGCTATCCCCCGGGACACCTGGTGAGGTCATATTGCTTGGCTCTGCTGCTTCCATTCTGTCAAATCTCCTGCCTTCAGCCAGCTCCAGGAGACCAGGAACCACATCCAGCCCCACGCCACTCACTGTGAAGCGCAGCTGCTCTCAGAGCCGCAGACAATAGGGCAGCATTCTGAACCTGAGTGCACTCAATAAAAACCACAGCTGCTGTTGACCACTCACTGCCTGTGCTGTGCAAGCGCTTCACGCACATCAGTGCTCACAACCACTCTGAGGCTGGCGCCACTGTCCCCACTTTCTGAATGACAACACGGAAGTTCCAAGAGAGTCAGCAATGTGACCCAGGCCACCTTCTGTGACTCTAGACACAAGTCAAGAACGAAAACAATCCCTCATTTACTTGCAGAGTGACCTTGACAACTGCCTATCCCCTCTCTAAGGCAAAGTTTCTGCATCTTGCACAAGACTAATACTTCCGTTCAGTGTTTTCTAAGGCATCTTCCTGCTCTTACTTTCTATGACAAAGGTTTCAAAAAGAGGGGGGAAGCATGGCAACTTGAACCCTGTTTGTCTAGTCCAGCTTTTAAGGTTTGCCCGTGCCACCAATACCCTTAGGAAGCTTAAGGGTGGTACACTCCACAGGGGGCAGAGCAGGACAGATTCCTCTCAGGTAACAGGGGACATTCAGACTAGGGCTACAAGGGCAGGGATCATGAGAACCAAACCAGGCCCCTGGGAAACTGTCAAGAACAGCCCTAAAGGAAGACAATCAGAGGAGAAAGCCCAAGAAAGCTGAGCCCACACCATCAGAGGACACAGCCAGGCAAGGAATGGCTGGTTTTACTCTCCAGTGGTGGGAGTAGCAAAAAAAATGATTGCCATCCTATACACCATATACTACAGGCCAAGGGAAGATGTGGATGACACCCCACTGCCACACAAGCTGACTTAGCTGAATTTACCCACATGGCACATTGCTCACCCTTTTCTGCAAGTGTCTGAAGAGCCCAAATTAGGAATAAATTATATTCTCCCTTTCCACCCAAGCTTAGCAGCCATTCTCATCCTTCTGGGTATGGGAAGGTCTTTCTCTAACCCTTTCTTGGCAAGGATATATTTGATTACTCATAGGCTTCCAGGGGGTTCTGCAAGCTGCCAAGAGGAGGTGGGCAGCTCTCCAAGCCATGCATCCCTCTCTGCAATGTCTTGGTGGCAGAGCGGCAGACGAAAGCAGGGCTGTGGGTGGGAACTTATAAAGGACTTCCGAGTCCCCTGGACAAGTAAAGAGAGCTCTTCAGTGAGCAGGCAGATTGAGAATGGCCAAAGATAATAAAGCCATTGAAAATGGCTTTATTAAAGCCACGTGCTACAACTAATCACCTCTTTGATAACATGAATCGTTGAGCTATATCTGGCTGCAAATCGATGAGGAAGCATTTCTGGGCCAAGCTGCCACCCAAGATGAATGGGGTTAGCAAGATGGAGGCACTGGGCACAACAAAGCCAGCAGACTGCTGGTCATGCCATTGTTGGGAAAATCTTGGATTGAGCTGGCCCAGAACAGATGGGACAATGGGAGTCTGGGGTGCCAAATCCCAGCACTTTGCCTTGCCTCTCTCCTCTCTGCTATTTTCCTCTAATCTCCTTCACTTCCTGCTATGTGATGGATTGGGGCTAGTAAGGCAGCTGCTGAAAGCTGCTAGTCCATCCCCTCCCTTAATCACATACACATACCCCTGTGTGCCTGCAGTGAATTGTAAGAGGCCCAGCAAACACAGGCTTAGGAAATTCAAGCAAGATGTTAAGCAGTTCAGTAATCTCACAGCAAGTCAAGAAACTGTGGAAAAACTGTCTTTGCAAGATGCTCCCCACGAGAACCAAGGGTGGAGAGTTTGGGGTCACTCCACAGTTCCTTCCTAAACAATGACATCTGCATCCGGTGTTAACATGGAAGTTAATTGTTTCAGTTAAGACAAAGAAGGGGTCTACTTACTCATTCTTCTCCAGGTCCATGATCAGTTCTTGTCCCTCGGCCATTACCCTGAGCTCAGCTTTAAGTGGATGCTAAAAGCAACAACAAAAGAATGTCAGTTCCTAAAAGCAGGGACCAAGGCTCCTAGCGATGGCCACGGATTTAGCACAGTGCTCAGACAGGACTCATGGGAAGCATATGAGAAAACACCAATTGTATTTCAAGAGTACATTTCCTGTGGAGTCAGATCTGGATTCAAATGCTGCCTCTGACACTTGCAGCTGTGTGAACTTGGCCTTGCTACTGAGCCTCCCTACATCTGTTTCCTCATTTGTAATACTTAGAGAGTGACAGTCAACCTTATGGGAATCTTGTAAGGATTAGATGAGATCATAAATGTAAATAATTTATCACAGTGCCTGGCACACAGGAAACCTTGGTACCAAAGGGTCCTCTTCATAGTAGGTTCTTATTTTATTTTTGACCCTCAGTGTGGAAAGTACCAATCACCTCAGGGAAGATAACTAAGAGAACCTCAGCTTAAGTAAGGTTTCATAGATTCAAAAGTAGACAGACAAGAGGTCTTCAAAAATTTCATGGAAAATACATATTAAGAAAAAATGCTGCATAGATTTCAATTTCTTTTGCACCAAAAATAAATTTATCATTAAATGTCATTTTTCCATAAACCTTCTGCAGTATGTTCATATTTTATACAAAAACACTTGACTGGCTAAAGGTGCCAAAAGGATATAAAGGATATATAATTTAAGATAAACAAATGGCCAGTAAACATGAAAACATGTTCAATATCACTGGGAAGTCACTACCACCCCAATAATAAACACACTTTAAAAATCAGACATCTTAAAAATTAACAAGGATAATTTAAAATCATAAATCATTACACAGTGGAGCATACCCTAAAATAAGAACTCACACTCTACAACCAAGAATTCAAACTGATACCAACTCTGAAAAATAATTTAAAACAATATGGACTGGGCCAGTGCCGCAGCTCACTAAGCTAATCATCCACCTTGTGGCGCCGGCACACCGGGTTCTAGTCCCGGTCGGGGTGCCGGATTCTGTCCCGGTTGCCCCTCTTCCAGGCCAGCTCTCTGCTGTGGCCAGGGAGTGCAGTGGAGGATGGCCCAAGCACTTGGGCCCTGCACCCCATGGGAGACCAGGAGAAGTACCTGGCTCCTGCCATCGGATCAGCGCGGTGCACCGGCCGCAGCGTGCCGGCTGCGGCGGCCACTGGAGGGTGAACCAACGGCAAAGGAAGACCTTTCTCCCTGTCTCTCTCTCTCACTGTCCCCTCTGCCTGTCAAAAAAAAAAAAAAAAATGGACCACATGTTTAGGCTTTTGACCAAGTAATGTAAGACTGTATGAAGGAAACAAACCAGTGCACAGGCAAAAATTTGTACATTTGTACACAAGGACACTTGTTAGAATAATGAGTATGAAATATAACCCACATATTCAAAAATAGGAGAATGACTGAATAAACATATGATAACACCACCCAATCATGAAAAAGCAATGACTTTAATGTATTTTTTTAATTGTTGAGAAAGTATACACAACAAACACGAGGCAAAAACTCAGACTCTAACACTGTATATTGTATTAAGCATATTTTTGTAAGGGCAAAACAGAAGAGCAATTAGCCTAAAGGTTATCATAGTTATTGCAAGCACTGGGATCATGGGTTAATTTTCTTTTTGGATCTTTCTATGTTTTAATAACTGCTTTTATAATTTAATAACTTTTAATCTCCTTTAACTAATTATTGTAGGAAATTTCAAAGAAATAAAAAAGTAACTCATAAAAAAAACCTCCATGCTTCAATAATTCAACTTAGATCTGTTGAACTTCTTCAAAGGGATAAATTATTTATTTAAAACAGAATAGTTACATATTTAAAACTGGATAACTTGATAGATTTCTTAGAGTGTTCTAATTACGAGCACTCTCTCTTGGGACCCAGAATCAGAAATTCTTGAAGTCTCTGCAATACACAAAAGGCCTTGCTAGAGTGGAACTTCTACCCCTTTGAGGTTGACCTCAGAGCTGACTTTCAATGTCTAAGTAAGTGGGTCACCTGTTTTGCCACCTCTGGCTGTTGGCCTGCCTCTTTTAAGTATATTCCCCTTAGTTGCTGCAAACTCCAGACCCTATCAGGGTCTGGGTATCCGTGAGATGTCTGGATCAACTAGGGCTTTTTTGAGGTCTGAACATTCCAGTGAAGGCCAATTGAGTAACCCTGTCCATTGTCTCGCTGACGCTGACCCTATTACTTCCTCTTAAGAAGGGACAACTATGGACTGGCATTGTGACGTAGTGCATGAAGCTGCCATCCGCAACACCAACATCCCATATGGGCGCTTGTTTGAGTCCCAGCTGCTGTATTTTCAATCCTTCTCCCTGCTAATGCGCCTGGGAAAGCCGTGGAGGATGGCCCAAGTCCTTGAGTTCCTGCACCCTTGTGGGAGACCCAGAAGAAGCTCTTGGCTCCTGGCTTCAGTCTGGCCCAGCCCTGGCCATTTGGGGAGTGAATCAACGGATGAAAGACCTTTCTCTCTGCCTCTCATTCTCTTTCTATATTCTGCCTTTCAAATAAATAAAAGGAAAAAAAGGGACAAGTCAAACCCAGGGGCAAAGGAAGCTGGGGAAGATGTTTGCCCAATTAACTTTCACTTACGAGATTTGCTCTCTGTTTCTGATATTCTGAATCAGCTCTGCTAGCATCTACTCTGGTCCCTGATCCTTTGTCACTTTTCTCTGGAGAGTTCTGAAGCAAGCTTCCTGCCCAATCACATGAACACTGGGGACACAGTCCCAAGTGGTATCTGAGAAACAGCACACAACAACGGAGCTGTAGCAACTCCCTCATCCAAGAGATGGCTGACCATGTGACAATACACACCAAAAAGCAGCACTGACACAAATCTAGGTACTGTCACTCTCTCCCAAAGAAACACAAACTGCAACATGAGTACTAATATTTTTATGTGGGTAGTCCAAAAATATTTCTGTTTTGGAAGGTACTCCGACACTGATATTTAAAATATGATGTTCCTTGTCTCCAGGGCCATTTCAAGCCAAACAATGAAACTGCACTTTAAGGATCTGTGAGGCTTTCCTGTCCAGCTCTCTTGATCAGTTTCTCTTACAGCTCCACTATACTAGGAAGGACCAACACCATTCCTCTCAGGAAGTACATGGCGCTTATACACCATTTATATTTCCCTAGGAAAGGATTAAAAGTCCTTTTTCTTTAGGAAAAGACTAAATAAATCCTCAGCTCCATAGGGTCTTAAAAACTTGTCCTGCATGTTTGTATCCCCCTTAAAATCTGGTACAATGTTTAGTACATAGTGAGTGTGCAATTAATGTTAGTATGAATGAATTACATAAATGCGAGTAAGAGGCCTGACTTAAACCCAGCTGCTACTGGTGCTGCTACTCTCTCTCTCTGTCTCCCCCCCCCATCTCTCCCTCACTCCCTCTCTCTCTCCCTCCTTCTCTCTTATACTCATTCATTTGCTCATCTAACAGATATTTACAGTGCCGGGCACTACGCTGACCACTGCTATAGAATATTATGACCCATGTTCTGGGCAGACAATGGGTGGGAACAAAGACAGGATCTGGCCCTCCACTTTGTTTCTTAGGCCCTTCCTCAGGATGCCCAGCACCAAACATCTGGAGAGAAGAACAAAGAGGCCTCTATAAAAAGTATCAGATCCATTTCTCTGGTAATAATGAATAGGTTGCAATATCCAAAATCTTAATTTATAAAATAATCTGTCTAGGATGCCATCCATTAATTTTTCTAGACTTTTCCTGAAGCTATATTCAGTCTCATCCACTTTTTGATGAGATGAGTTCTATGCATATATCACCTTAAGTCAAAATGCATCTAATTTTGGCCGGCGCCGCGGCTCACTAGGCTAATCCTCCGCCTAGCGGCGCCAGCACACCGGGTTCTAGTCCCAGTTGGGGCGCCGGATTCTGTCCCGGTTGCCCCTCTTCCAGGCCAGCTCTCTGCTGTGGCCAGGGAGTGCAGTGGAGGATGGCCCAGGTGCTTGGGCCCTGCACCCCATGGGAGACCAGGAAAAGCACCTGGCTCCTGGCTCCTGCCATCGGATCAGCGCAGTGCACCGGCCGCGGCGGCCATTGGAGGGTGAACCAACGGCAAAAGGAAGACCTTTCTCTCTGTCTCTCTTTCTCACTGTCCACTCTGCCTGTCAAAAAAAAAAAAAAATGCATCTAATTTTTATCTGTCCGGAAGTTTTCACTGTTTGAGTAAACTCCTTGAGTAAATCCAACTTAAAGCATAGTTGGCTGTGGTGAGATTACGCTGGTCATTAACTTCAGGGATTCCAGGCATTCCCTCCATTCATTTCCGAACTCAAAGCCACCATGTCTTTCCTGACACAACCCTCTCCTACTGTAACCTTGCTCTGATTTGTCCAGTGAATCACAGACCATTTTAATCCAAAGGCATCTCAGAAACCAAGCCTTGCACTCCAATTCCATGTTCCATCTAAGTCCTATTTTATAAATGAAGAAACTCAAATTCTCTAGGAAGTAGAAGGTCACATCACTGGTTACTAGCACACAATAATCACATTTTCCTTCCTAGCTCTTTTTGTCTCACTGGAGCTATGAAATCACCTCTTCAAGAGCAGAATAGGGTTTTCTGTCTCATTCCCAAATGCCTTGATAAAGCCTGCGCATGTTACTGGTGCTCTGGCCCAAGAACTTACTGAATTTTAAAGTACATTCCTTAGGACTAAGTGCCTACTCTGCCTCTTAGTCTAAAAATTTTAGGTTATCCTTTTTCTCCCATGGAAATTATCTCATTGATAAAATGAAGCACTTATAATGCAGACAAAAAATAACAATACCAATATTTAATGAATTCCAATCAACACTAAGTGTTTCTGGTGACAGCATCACATTTGCACTTAGCTTGTGTCAGCATTAATGTGGATTTTCATTTCCTCAACTAATAGCATCGGAAGTATTCTAGAAGTTTGTCATACAATGAAGGAAAGTCCCAAAACCAACACAGAAAGAATACAATGAGTCAGAAACAGATTGTGATGACAGGCTTCCCAAAAAGTTGAATAGATGACCCCAAGCCTCACAGATCCGTTGCCACCTTCTGTTTCTGAAAACAAGAACTTTTGAGCCTTACCTTTTCTCTCATGAACCTTTCTGAAGTCTTCCACTGAGGTATTATGAGTTCATGCTGTAGCCGGGGGCTGCTGTCCCCACCTCCTCCTGCCAATACAAGATGCACAGCCGTTGGAATCCCAGATCTTGAAACCCTAGCTAAGCCACGAAGGCATTCTCAGCAATAGCCACTGCACCCAGAAAGACCCGTCCTGGCCTTGTATTCATCTGTTTCCCACTGCTATAATAAAATACTCAAAACTGGGTCCTCATCAAAGAAGCGAAGCTTATTTAGCTCAGAGTCTTGGAGGCTAAAAGTCCAAAAAGTGTGGTGCTGTTTCTAGTGAGGGTTCTCCCTTAGCTGTGTCACATTATGGCATCATGGTGGGTATGCCAGAGGGAGAGAACACATGGTAAGACAGGAAGCCAGAAAGCAGTGAGGGGGCCATCTTGCTGTTGTATAGACCTCCCAGGAGAGCCACAATCCCCCAAGAACTGTGTTAAGTGACCTTGGTGACCTAAACACCTCTCACTAAATCCCACCTCTTGAAGGGTCTACAGCAATACAATGGGAAGCAAACCATGAACACAAGTACCCCTGGGGGACACTCTCATACCAAACCCAAACCATAACAGGGTCATCAGAACGCCTGCTTAATTCCAGGCTCTTGGCACTTAAGATGAGGAAGAACCTCTTCTAGGTGCTGGCCAACAAGGTCCCTGTACTCCAAAGTTCATCTTCTGAAGTTGGGAGACAAAAAGTTCCCAGGAAGTGCAACAGACACCCTGTAGGAGGAGGTGCCTGCTCTAGACAGGATGCCAGCAAAGATGAAATCTGAGACCTGAGGGAAAGTAGCCACAAAATAACCCCTAGGTAGAGGACTGGCTTGTGAAAAGGCCCTGCTTAAACGGGTGGGATTAGACTGCCCAAGGAAAATGCAGAAGGTAGAAGTAGACAGTCAAGTAAATGAGAGAGTGTTGAAGAGGTGTGCTCAGCAAGACAGCCATGAGTCTGACAATGCGGAGGCCATGGAAAGTGTCTGGATTTTATTATGAATAGACTTGGAAGGCATTGGATGTTTTCGACACAGAGCAACATGATATGTATCAGGTTTAAAAAGGATCACTCTGCTGCCTGGGTGGAGAATGGGGTAAGAGTGGGGGAGGGGTGGAAGTGCGGTCCGAGGCAGGAAGGAGGCTGGAGACTGGAAGCAGTCCTGGTGAAAGATGGTGGTGGATCAGACTAGAATGATGTCAGTGCAGAGGAATGAAGTGGTGGGATGCTGGATATATTCTGGGGGTCCAAACCAGGGGCAGAGGGAGGGGTTGTTCTGGTTGGGCTTTCGTTTTCTCATCTGTAAAATGAAAAGAATGATTCCCACCTGCTCATCTCACAGCATTATTGGGGTAAGTTAAGGTGAAACTGTTTCCTTTTTAGGAAGATTTATTTATTTATTTATTTATTTGAAAGACATAACAACAGAGGAGAAAAGGAGGGAGGGGGAGAGAGAGAGAAAGAGAGAGTGAGAGATCAGATGGATCCCATTTGCTGATTCACTCCCCAAATAGCTGCAACTGCCAGGGCTGGGCCAGGCTGAAGCCAGGAGCCTGGAACTCCATCTGGATTTCCCAGTGGGTGCAGGGGCCCAAGCACTTGGGCCATCTTCTGCCGCTTTCTCAGACACATTAGCAGAGAGGTGGAAGTGGAACAGCCAGGACTCCAACCAGCGCCTCCCTGGGCTGCCAGCATCAGAGACAGCAGCTTAACCCATGGTGCCACAGTGCCAGCCTTGAAATTGTTACTTAAACTGCAAAGTATCATCATATTCAGTTGATCTTCCTACTGGTATCTTTGCATCCTCCAACTCATTCTCACCACTCAGTTCCCCTTCACTCTCACGACAACCTTGGGGAAGCAGATAATAGGATTCCCATTCTGTAAAACAGGGAATTGAAATTAGAGCAGAGACCTGTTCCAGGCAGTGCAGATCTCAAACACTGGTTGCAGCTCATGTTTTGCAAATGGGAAATCCCCAACACCTAAGCAAATTAGTCTCTCCAAGAAGAGGCCAAGTTCACAGAGGCCCAGAGGATGTGGGTGAGGACTCCAAAATCGATTCTTTCTAAACCAGACACTTTAATTACACAAAATGTAATGATACAAAAGATGTCTGTACTTGTTCTGTCAGAGTGCTGGGATTACAAATGATTATTAACTTTCTTTTCAGGTTACTTGACCTCAAAATATATTCCCAGAAATAATCTCCTTCCACTAATGGTTTCAGCAGCGATGCATTCATTTCTTTACCTAACATTTTCCAAGCTTTACCTATGTGCCACATACTATGTTAGCTGTTTAATATTCATGCAGAAACAAGAGAAGCCCAGTACCTGCCCTGGTAGCTCCGATAAACCTTTTTTTTTTTATTTTTTAAAGGAACTATACGATATTTAGAGGAATACTGAAAGTAACTAAATGATGTTAGTGGTAACAAAAGAATTTTTGAAAGCAAAAAAAAAAAGCAGTCTGAAGTCTCAACAATAGAAGAAGAACATGGTATAGCCTAAGAAAGTGTTCAGAACTTGAAAATAAGTGACCTTTTCAAGGTCACAGGGGAGCATTGTTTCACAGACTCACTTATGGATTACTGAATTATCTAGGGGAATTTACTTTTGGCTTTTTATGTATAAGTGATCAAAGCCCTATACTCAGTGAAGTTAAATGGTAACTAAGACTGAGATGCAAATAATCCCAATACAGTAGAAACATGCACCCAAATTATCGTTGTTTTGCCCCAGGAGGACCCCATGGCTTGTGCATCTGCCCAGCCACATGATTGCAACCTTCTCAACCCTGTTCGTCCAAGGCCCCTTTGAGCCAGTTCTTTCATCCTGTTCAACACCTCATTAATGAAGTGAATTAATCTTCACCTTTGTATGAAAGTCGGGTTTCTAGCTTTTTGAAAATTACACATCTTCGATCCTTTGATGGAATTTATAGAGTCATTAAGCTCATGCTTTTGGAGAATTTCATGATTTGGGAAATGTTCATAAAACCCAAGACATAAAACTGTATGTGTGCTATGTTTCCAATTGGATCGAGATATATATTATTCATATATTATATATATGTATGTATATATATGTATGTGTGTGTGTATATATATGTATATATGAACACACAAAGACTGGAGAAAAAAAACTGTGGATCTGGGGACTGAGGATCATTATTCCGTTTCTACTTCTCATTACTCCCAGTGACTCTGCCTTACTGAGTGGTCTTGGAGAGCCCAGAATTTGGAGAAGGCGCCTGTGCTCAGAGCAGTCACTCTCTTCCTTTACTTTTCTTTCTGCTTTTCCTCCTGCACTAAGGCTGACTTAGTGGCTCCCTCTCCCTCAAGGAGTCCCATGCCACGGGGAAAACGGGGATGTCCTTGGACTCACTGTGAATTCCCTTGCCTCAGTTTCCCTTTCACAACAAAAACTCAAAAGGCGGTTGTGACCACGCTCTGGCGCGAGGCTGGTCTCTGGACCCCACCCCTGGAAACTCAGCACAGTCCGGTGAGCACAGCCCACTCACCCCTGGAGACTGGGGGCTCGGCCTGCCCAGCTCAACATGCTGGCCTCACTTTATTTGAAAATCCCGACTGTTGGTCCCGAAAGTCGCGGTCTGGAGTCAGTCCAGGGCGTCCGCGGCAGCGGGGCCAAGGCTAAGCTTCTCGGGTCATAATGACAGACCCGGGGACACCGCTCCCCACCCCCACCCCACCCCCCGGGACCGTTCCTTCCGCGAAATCGGCGAGGATCCCGCAGGGATGGCGCCCTGGAGGGGTTGGTGTCTGGGAAATCAGTGGTGAGAAACATCACCAAGCCTCCAAGTTGCAAGCCTGAAGTCCAAACCCTTAGCTTCGCAGAGGGAGAAGCTGAGGCGCAAGGAGAGCCCTGGTTTCCAGCAACGGAGACCTCACTCTGTGGCGAAGCTGTGGGAAAGTCCTTCCGAGGGCCTCAGTTTCCCTATCTGTGCAATGAGTGTGTCAGATCTCCTCCTAACAACAGTCCCTGCCAGCTTAGGGGCGTGCAAAGCCTGCAGCACCCAGCGAGCCATCCCACCGTGGCTACCACTGTCTCCTAGGGACATTTTCGCGTGCGCCTGGCACAGTGCACGGTCCCAGGAAGCCCCTGGCCTGGGATGCTGTGTGCTGGAGAGTGTAGCGGGCGGCGAAAACGGGTGCGAGACAGGGATGAGAAACTGGGGAGAGACCAAAGGGGAGGAGGCAGAGGCGGAGCGGAGGGACCGTGAAAAAAATGAGGAGAGCCCCGGAGAGCAGCGGAAAGAGAAGCCAAAATCAAGAAAACAGAGGAAGGAGACGAAGCGGGGAAGGCAAGCCTGGGAGCGGCGGCTGTTTTCCTCCTGCTCTGATTCCGCTACCTCCACCACCTCCCGGGGAGCACAACGTGCGGAACAAAGCCGGGGCCGCTAGGTTAGGGGGCTGCAGGGCGCAGGCCCCGCGACTTGCACGAACTGCGATCCCGGCACTCGACCCCCTCAAGGCGACTCCCGATGTGTCCCGCCACCCAGCTCACCCGCCTCCATCCCTCCCAAACCCCGCCACTTACTTCCCGTCCATCCAGGCTCCCGCGCCGCCCGCGGCTGGGGCAGCAGCAGAGCGAAGAACGCCAGCAGGCAGAGCCGGGCGGCGCCCGCGCCCCCTGGCATGGTGGCTGCAGCCCCTCGTGCTCGGCGCTCACACGCCCTCAGCCATGCTGCCCCAGGCCCGGCGGCGGCGGCGGCGAGTCTGGAACCCACCGCTGTGCCAGCGCCTCCCTGCCGCGCTTCTAGCCCCCGGCCGAGAAGCTCCGCCCCCAGCCCCCACTGGGCTCTGCCGGGGGGTTGGAGGAGGGGAGGCGCCCGCCCGGAGGGGGCTGGAGGGCCGGGCTTGGGAGGAGCCGGCGAAACCCCGGGGATCGGGGCTGATTCAGGTGATGGGAACGGCGGAGAAGGAGCCGTCAGAGCCTGAGGAGAAGAGATTCGCCGTGGACACGCCCTGGGGAGGGTCGGGGGCCTGTGGCCCTGTCTGCCCGGCGGCCAGTTTACAGTGTCCCGCACGATGCAAATCGCCGAGTGACGCTCAGCGGTGACTTAACCCAGC